ACAGAAAATATATAATAAAAGCAACAAAAAAAATGTTTTTTTCTTTATATTTTATAATATTATTTTTGTTTGCATTTCTAGGCTATGTACAGTAGTATTATTTTAGCTGGTGGAAACACACTAATAAATGGTTTTTCAGACAGACTTTTAAGAGAATTGCAGACTCGCACACAGAATGTGAGTAACATGTTTTTAATAGAATATAGTATAATATACACACACTATGTACATGTATACTTTGTGATAATTTTTTTAATTGTTGGTCACATCATTTTATGAGATTTAAAATTATATGAATGAATTTGTACTGTCAATTTTAGAACACAAAATTAAAGATTATTGGAAGCAATAGCAGCTCAGAACGACGGTTTAGTTCTTGGATTGGAGGATCAATTCTCGCCTCACTTGTAAGTAACACTGTTAAGTAAATCATCACCATCTATAATTTAGAAACATCAATCTCACCTTTGCAGTTATTTTTATTCATCATTTTCACTGCCAATATTACCACCACGTTGATTTTTGTAATCATTCACTGTTTTTTATAAAAGACTAATGTCTGGGGCAAAACTGAATTCTTAATGACAAGGAACAATGTATAATAAAACCAGAAAATATAAAGATATTTGTTAGATCATTATTATTATTATTACAGGTCTCCCTCCAATCAAAGACCACTTTTGGAACTGGGGGTTTCCATTGTCCTTAACAGCTTTGGTCTCTAATTAGAATAATAATTTGGAATCACAGAAAAGTGGTCTTAAATTGGAGGTTGGTCTTTAATTAGAGGGAGACCTGTATTATTACTTTTATTATTATTGTTGTTGCTGTTTTCACTGTTGCTGTTGTTATTATTATTGTTGTTATTATTATTATTATTATTATTATTATTATTATTATTGTTATAGTTATTATTATTATTATTATTATTATTATAATTATTATTATTATTATTATTGGTACTATTATTATTATTATTATTATTACCACTATTATTATTGTCACATATCCAAATTTTAAAAATTGTTGCTTTCTCCCCCACACAGGGAACATTCCAACAGATGTGGATCTCGAAGCAAGAGTACGAAGAAACAGGAAAGACGTGTGTGGATAGGAAGTGTCCTTGAGGAAAATGTAAACAATTCCAAAAACCCCATTTCATTTGTATCCTTAACTATTTATAGATTGTATAAGAATAGCCTCATGCATCCTAATCAGGCCCG